AATTGAATCCAAATTTTAAGAGTTTTAAAATAGCAGTCTTGGGAGTATTTTCATGCATGTCTAGATTTTAAGGTTCATGTTTTCACAGCTTCTTTCTCCACTTAGAGTGCCTATGTCCTTTTAAGGCAACAAGAACCTGAGATTTATCTACAGTAACATATATGCAAGAACACTGGTCCTTGAGAGAAATGCCAAAACACAACAAAATTATGAGGTGTAACCAACTTGCCACATAACCAGGTTAAACTGAAGAAGGATCTTTCATTCCCCATGGAGCCAAATCCTTCCACAGCACTTCAGTCTTCTGCAGAAGATCTCCCACATTCAGGTGTGTTCACAACCCAGGAGGAGAGTGTTTGAAATACTGTCTGATACATAAAGCAGCTCTGCTAGCAACTTTCAAACCCATGTAAAACCATTCACAACAACATATGAAATAAATGGCAGACACCACTAGTCCACATATTAATAGAAAGTAGCTTCACTATTTGCTGAGAACACTGTTAATATGATTTTGGTAAGCCTTGAGCATGTCTGTGAAATTCTTTGGGGAGGTTGGGTCAAGGAACATACCTCCAGTCTCCAGCAGGCTCTGGGCTAAACAAGATGGGCCAAGGAGCTTCCCTGAAAGGTGCCTGAAGATGTAGCAGCTGAGTGGACTTCCATATGAATCAGAAATAGCAAACCTGCTGCAAAAAACAAGCAGAAGAAACACACAGGCATCACAAACATAGCCAAGCCTGGGTTTGTTTTGGCAGCTTGTTGGCTAGGTGCAGGCTCAGATTCTTGAAAAAGGGAACAGCCTCCTGTTGTCCCTGGGACAGAGCCCTTGTTTATTTTAAAATAAATTGGATGGCATGCAGTAAATATCTGGCTCCTGCTAGCAAAATTATCTCTCAAAATCCTAAATACTGCTTGTCTCTTGGGCCAAGAAGAATGTGATCTGTTTATTTATTACTTGTTTACCTTATTCTGGTAACTAGAAACATTGGGTCAAGATCTCATGCTGCCAGACAGTATTCATACTTACTTTTCTCTTATGGACTGAAAACCCTTACCCAACTCCACACTAAATCCTACCTATGATGCACAATATTATTGATGCAGCCCAGCCATGGGTCTTTTTTTCTAAGAAACAGGAGAATGCAGCCCCAAAACATACTCCTGACTGGACAGAAAACATCTTTTCAAAATCTATGTATTTTGAAAGTTGATAATTTGCTAAAGACTTAACTATTTTAAAAGTATGAATGGAAATACATTTTTGTTTGGTTTGGTTTAAGTATGACCAGTTTTGCATGATAAATGGACCACTAGGTTGTGTGCCTGAATAGGAATTTCTGTGGCATTTCCTACCTCTACTGTGGCAGTTGTGCAAAGAGCTCTTGATAAAAACTTTCAAAATAAACTATGCCAAGATGTATAGAAAGCAGAAAAATAAAAATATTAATTCTATGTCAAAACACTGCCACTGAGTTCCAATACATGAAACCACCTGCAAATTAGAGGACAGTTTCTTGTTTCTAGAAACAGACCACAGTAAGTGGCATGAAGTTCTAAAAAATAGGGGACAGACCCTTGAGCCCTCGAAGAAGGGTAGGAGAGGGAAGAAATGTACAAAAGAGTCAAGTTCAGCATTTAATTTTAATGCTCAATAATGAAGAATACAAGTAGCTTCACTCAATTATGCCATCTCCTGATATGGAGACAATAATCCCACTCTACTGAGAAAGAAAATAAAGGGGGGATTTGAAAAGCTTCAAACATTTTATACTTTTATTTCCACACCACAATCCATGCTTCTGTCAAAATCACCTAGATATATAATAATAACATAGTAATATAATCATAAGTATTATATAACAATACAACCAATTAGAAATCAGATGTAATTCTTTGTAACCACCAGTGAAGCATCTATGGATTAACTCACCTACTAAAAAAACCCAGCAGTAACTCTGAATACCTGAAACCTATTTTTCAATATTGAGTGCAGGAGCCTTAGCTCTGCATACACAGCTGTAGCAGTTTTTCTGGATGTTATATATGTACACATGCTGAACATAAAAATTACTCTGCAACATACTGCTTTCAGCGAAAGTAAATTCTAAAGTGCAAAGCCATTTTAAATGAGAAAAAGTATCAAAATGGTTTCAAGTACATTAAAGTCTTCTGTTTTTTTCTGAGCAGAGTCAGTGTGAGAGAACAGAACCTAATCAGTGAGCAGTGAGAGCAAGGGCCTATCCGAAGGAAGAAAACAAAGCTCACACTTAACATTTACTTTCTTGGAAAACTTAAATAAAGCCACATATTTACATTTCCATATTTATTTCACATTTAAGTCACAATGTAACCCATTTATTTCATAAAGGCCAGAAAAAAAATAAAAAGAGAAGCAATTGCAACAGAACGTGTTTTTTAAGAGTGTGGGATCCATTTTATTAACAATATGAAATGTAATAAATTCCTTTTGGAGATGTTACATGTCAACAGTGAAAGACTTGTAAAACACCACAAGCATTAGAACTTAAGCATATGTTAGTTTAACAAAATTTGCAAGGTATTTCCATATTGCCTATAATCTTCTACAGTTATTAACATACTATTAATTCATTCAGGAGAGTCCTTTCAGTTAGTAAGACTAGTTCTTAGGAGCCATGATTTCTATGGGCTACATCTCTCTGCTTCATTGGCTTTACAGCTCTGGTCCAGGAAAAGAGTTACGACCCTATTCTAGTTCTTACTCCAGGCATGTTTCCTCCTTCCTACTCCTTTAGGTAGAAGGCAAAATGGGCAGAGAAGGGGGATCTTATTCCTCTAACTACAGAAAACTCCCAGAAACAATAGAATCACCTACTGGCCAAGACTGAGAACTTGATTTAGACCCATTACCTTACGAAGGGTGGGCTTAGGCGGTTTTTAAAAATTTAATTAAATTTCATAAATCATTAAATGTCATTTAAAATCTTTAATATTCAATATAATTTATAAACTTCAAGAGAAACCCAATAAAACATTTTCCTCAGGTATAAATAACAAGTTATTACAGTATATTTGTTGTCATTCAAATTGTAACACACTACTTTTCCATTTATGTTTGTTCAGAGCTTCTACTCTCTCACAAGTTTCTATGAAGACCTCTGCTTTGTTCTTTTTAAAAAAAAATATTAGTCTTTTCCCTGAAGCCAATCCTGAATAGCCAGCCCTCTATTCACGGAAAGATTAGGTTAGCTTTTTCTTTGTTCTCTGACAGGAAAATAAAAGGATAAATCTTATGCCTGGACTGTTTCTCTTTAAAAAACAAACAAACAAACAACAACAACAAACAAAAACCAATACACAAAATCCTCCAAACCTTGAGTACTGTTTTTGTATAGTGTGATATTTTATTCTTTATTTTGTTCCTGGCATCAAGCTTTATTTGTTGGCACAAAGAAATCTTGTACCTCCAAGCTTGTAACTAAGAGGCAGGGAATGAAGTTATAAGCTTAAAAAAAACTTGATCACGGTTTGTTCCCATAACTGTGCAGAAGAGTGTTTTCAAAGCTACACATCACTGATGTACCTTTGTTTAGTAACTCTTCACAAATACTAATCCCCAAAAAGTGACATTGCTCATGGAAGATGTTAAGACAAATTAAAAAATTGCAAATAAGCATAATTAAATGAGTGACTCTGTCCTATAATAATAACAACTTAATTTCCTTCTAAGCTAATAAAATAAATGAGCCTTAATGGCTCAAATACCAAAATCAGTTTTGTGTACTGGAAGTCAAAGGAAAAGAAAGGTGTGGCTTAGCTACTAAACACCATCAATACTGACTTGTTCATTTTGGCACTACTCTGCTGAGATTTTGTATTCATCAACTCGACAACTGACACTATAGAAAATTTTAGATATACCTTTCATTTCTTCCCATCATGCAATTTATTTATTTCCCCAACTATCAGATTTTTTTCCTTCTCTTTTCTTCTTGGCCTCACTGCAGAACACTTTTGGATATATTAAAAATACAGCTGCATAGCTGCATTTTGCTGGAGGGGCAAAATAACCAGTGCCCTAAGATTTCATGGCCTAAATAAACAGGAACAGAGTAGTAAGGACATTAATTTGAACAGAAATACAAGCACAGCATGCTCCTCATACTACACACACACACACACTGATGTTTCATCTACTTAACCCACAGGCCATTCTATAGGTAATAACGTGCTACCTCAAGAGGCTAGGGTTTCATTACATTTTTAAGAACTAGCAGGTGCGCCCCTATGGCTTGCCAAAATGCGTTGTGATGAACTGCAAAACTAATCCGCGCACTCGCCGCTCACCCCGGGTCGCACTGCACCTGGCCAGCGAAGTGGCAGCAGTGCAGTTTGTGGCCAGCAATTTGCGGCCGGCCATCCTTGTCCCGCTGTCGCAGACCTCAAAGTGCTAAACCAAGTGGCTAATCTGCACAGCACTAGTGGGGGAAAAAACAAATAATTATGACCTTGAACGTGTATAGGTTACCTAAAAGAGCAAAAGTAAGCTCCTACTCCTTATACACTTATGGCAGCTCAGTAGAGCCTTGCGAGAGCGCCAGGATAGTAGTGCTTAGACATGGCTTAAGGTCGGACAAGTTGTCAAATGTCGGCGGGACCTTTTTCATGGTGCTACTTGAAGGTTCTTCAGTCTTTGCAGCGGCTCGAAGGAGCCCCCAGTGCCACCCGCCTTCCCTCGGCTCTCCTGCAGCCAGGCCTTGCCCTTGAAGGGCTGCTCCTGGTGAGCTGCTGCCCGACACCTCCCCGCACACGTGTGCCAGGAAACCCCACAAACGCCAAAGGTTCGTGCCCAAAAAGGAGATAGAGGAGTCCTGCAACTTAATTCGCATAAAGGCAGGGAGTCCACTGGGGCACACACCCGCAGGGCTTTCTCTCTCTCACGTGTGACACCAAAGGGGCGGATCGGTCCCTGTCACAGGACACTGCTAAATATGGCGTTCGGAGCCAGGCCGCGCTGCCTGTCAACAAGCTTTGCTAACCCAGCGCAGTGCCTGGAGTGACAAATTTCCTAGCCCGGTGCCAGGAGAGCCCGGGGTGCCTCAGCAGAGGAGCGGGGGGCGGAGACAGGGCGACAGCAGGCCCGGAACCGGCAGGGCTGGCCCGCAGGAGGAGGAGGAGAGCGCTGGGCATGGCGGCGCCCGCAGCGCTGCAGCGGAGCGTGGTGTCCCCCGCGGGCAGGCACACCGCCTCCCTCATCTTCCTGCACGGCTCAGGTGCCTGCTTTCCCTCCCTTCTCTCCCGCTGCCCGTGGGGACGGGGCGCTCCCGGGAGCGGGTGAAGCGGGCAGGGTCGGCCCCTCGGTGCTGCGGGAGGAGGGCGGCGGGGCGGGGTGGCCGCGTCGGCCGCCAGGACTGGGAAGGGCTTTGAGGTGACCCTGTCCGCGCGGCTCTGCTCTCCTCGGGCCCGCAGGGTCGAGGCAGTGGGCGGCAAAGCCGTCTGCGGGCGCCCGGAGTTCCGTGAGAACACACGCGTTCCGGGAGATCACGGAGCGTGCTCAGCGGGAAGGGGCACATTAGGATCATCACAGGCCAACTCCTGGCCCTGCACAGGACACCCCGAGAGTCACACCCTGTGCCTCAGAGCACTCTCCAAAGGGTTCTTGGACTCTGTCGGGCTGCCTGCTGCTGTGACCACTGTCCTGGGGAGCGGGTTCCAGTGTCCAGCCACCCTCTGGGTGAAGAACATTTTCCTGATACCCGACCTTACACTTCGTACCGTTTCCTCGAGTTCTCTTACTCCCTAAATTGCCCTTCTCAGAGAGTAGCCGCATTCGGAGGATGACTTTCGCAGTTTAAGCGTTTCTTGCTGGTTTAGAATCGGCGTGGGGCACCGTTTAAAAGCCAGTGTTCATTTATCAACAGTGATTGTTCAGAAGGGCCCTGTCCATGTCCAGACGGGCTTCATGGCCATGCTCTGCAGAGGGGAGTTACCTACAGCAGTGACTGGTCTGAGAGCAGGAGGGGAACATGTGTTTTGTTGGGTTTAATTCCTTAAAAGTTGTTTCTAATGAGCTAAATAACAACAAGGTACACATGACGTGGAAAAAAAAAAAAAGAAATAAGAAAACCAGCAATCTTAGGTTGATTAGATCAAGGCCTTGAGAATCGATACTACTGAGCTGGCCATGTGCATATGGTAACATGCTCAACACTTTCCCTGTCTCTTGCTTACTTTTGCTTTTAGCTGGTGCTTCTGTTTAGTTTAACAAAGATCTATGTCCTTACTAAATTAGTTTCTTTTTTATAATCTAGTTTAATTTTGTTTTTTAAAAATTCTGTGAGTAAAAGAATGAAAGTGAAAGAGTTTATGTGTCCAGCTCTCTTGTTAATGCTAATGCTTTAATGCTTGAGGAAATAATTTTCTGTAATGTTGGAGGAGTAAGGGAAGATTATGGTTAGAGGTTGATTCCACATGTGGTTAAAGTACTCTACAATTTTCTTTTTTTTAATATATATTATTTTGTTCATAATGTTTGTAATGGGGTGGTTTTATTTGGTTTCTAGCAGTTCCAGAATAGAATTTAAAACAGAAGTCATCACAGTGCTGTTGCTGTGGGCTGGCCTGTAAACCTGAGTTGTAAACCTTTGTACAGCACTTGTGATGGAAAGTGGTGGTCAAATTGCATGAATCCATTTTGTACATAATGCTTGCTCTAGACAAACTATAACAAGTGCAGAATGCAAATGCAAAATGGTACTGAAAAGTATTAGAACAACAATTGGTACTATACATCAGATTTAGGTAGAGGTTCCATTTGTAGCTTGGCAGGGAAGGCAACTGGACATAGCAAGTATGTAATAGCTTTTTAGGCTGAGGATTACAACTTTGCAAGTTGTAACAAGGACAGAATCATAGGCTGGAAAAGACCTTTTAGAACATCAAGTCCAACCATTAACCAAAGGCTGCCCAGTCCGCTACTAAACCATGTCCTTAAGTGCCACATTTACACATCTTTTAAATACCCCCAGGGATGGTGACTCAGTGACTTTCCTGGGCAGCCTGTTCCAGTGCTTGAAAGCCCTTTTGGTGAATAAGTTTTTCCTAATGTCCAGTCTACATGTTACACATTAAATTTAAACTTTGCATAGAAAGAAAACTTGGAAATACAGCCTATATTTGAAAGGAAAGAAAGTAATGTTTTACTTAAGGAGGGAGAAGAAGATAATAGAGCTGCCATCAGTCTTTTTCACTTTGTAAACTGGCTCAAAGCAGAATCACCCATCATTTGCTTTTTTTTGTAGTGTTCAGAACATATAATGCTAAAATTTCAAAAGAGCCTGAAAGACTAGCATTTCAGGAGATTTGTTGGCTTTTGTTTGATGTCACAGTCTCCTCTTCTCCTCCCTCTCCTCCAAGTTCTGTTCCTAAAATCAAAATACATTATCTGAGCATACAAGTGCTCACATTTGAGTAGCATTTGGACCATGACAGTTCTTGACACAGAAGGTCATAGTTAAATTTTCTCTTACTGAGTTTTCTGTGACCTTTCCATGGACAAAGTGTATTCAATAACAGTAGAGGTTTTTGAAGATCTCTGTGAAGTTTAAGAGGTGGGAATAAATAATAGAATAATGATTTATCCTACATCATTAAGGAATTTGTAAAGATCTAAGTCCCAATTCTGTAATCATTTAGATAGTTGGTTGAGTTACCTCAGGGTTCATTCTGTGTAAGTATTTTGCAAGGCCTAGACCTTGGCTTTCTAACTGAAAAAAAAAAAAAACAGAACAAAAGCAGTGTATAAAGGGGAAGAAAGTGTTAGTTCAAGCCTTCATAAGTGAGGTGACAAGAGCCTTGAGGAAACCCTTGTGTGTCGAGTGTCCGAGAAGAATCAGAGGTGCTTTTGGGCATCAGATCACAGTACTTGCATAAGCAAAGTGCTTGTGGGGGGGTTTTCAGAAGCATCTAGTTAAGGAAGTAACTTTGATTTTACTGTTTAACTTAGCACAGGGTAAGATTTGTGTCAGTTTTGCCGCCCTGTTTTTTATTTGTCACGTAGAGTATTTAGGTCAGAGAACAGTTAGTTCTAGTTATGGTAATTGTGCTTACCAGGAAGAAAATTGCTGGGTTTGAACCCTTCTTGCCTTCTGTTTTAATTTTGAAGATACATTAATTATGTTTGTAAATAAAAACCATCTGAATTTTGTTAGAATGCTTAAGAGCAGATTTTCTCCATTGGGGAATTATAATAATTTTAACAATGCATTGGTATATTCATGTGGCATTGTTCAGATGAGCCCATGTAATGTTCCAATAAGCCTGGCTAAGGACAGTGGTATTTTTTTTTCTTTTGGTTTGGCCATTTTATTGAAAAGAATGGGGCAAGTTCTAAAGTCAAACCAAACAACTTGAGCTAAAAAAATAGAGAATTTTAGCATTTTGTGTTGATAATATGTGGGAACCTCAACTTCAAGCAAGACTGAAGTCCCATGGCATGAGTGGCAGTAGTGAAATTCCAATTTGCTGAGTTGCCATTCAATTTTTTAGGTTGAACATCCTTGCTACTGTAAAATATATTCCTTGATGGACCGATTTGCTTAAGCTTGAAGTGTTGTATACACTAGTGCCTGCTCTTGGGAGGGGTGGCAGTGAAATTATAGCTGAAGATATAGTGCAGTGGTGCAAAGACAAGCTGTAGACACTGTCTGGTGTATATATGTATATTTATTTAAAAGGAGCAAATGCTATCTACAGAAGAATTCATCCTGTTTGTGGTACTTCAGTCTACAGGGGTTTTGGCCATAGGCTGTGTTGGTGAGACTGGGAAAAAATACAGATTGGGAGTGGATCTCAACTAGTTTTCAAACAGAACTGTGTGGTTAAAGTTTCTTTAAGAGTCTCCTAGGTATTTTAGCTGAACCTATCTCTTTACAAATTGTCTTTTCCCATAAAACCTATGTGCAATGTTAGCATAATTAAATGTGAAGATCTTTTTTACTGGGTTCTGAAGTGGGTTACATAAAATTCTCTAGTAAAAGTAATTAACTTTTCTAAGGGGAGCAACAGTTATTTTACCTCACTTTTTAAGATGTTCATCAAGATTTTTGTTTATCACTTAAGCGTAAATATGGTCAACTGTAAGTAAGAGAGTAAGGCGTTGTATCTGCTTGGGAGATGCTTAAGTCATTAAATGTAGTAAAGTATTGATTAAACTTATGTTGTGGCATCTCTTCAGTAGTCTTTTTCTAGGAAGTTTTGAATCCATTGGAAAGGGAACCGAAGTTGTTCTAGAAAGTCCTGTTTTAGCATTTTAGTGTATTAACTTCATAATTTGAAATTAAGTCAATCTGAAGTATATTTGATATTCTATCATTTTCTTGCTAAATGCACTGAATAATTCTTGTACTCTTCTGTGTGATACAGGTGATACTGGCCAAGGAGCAAGAGCATGGATAAAACAAATTTTGAATCAAGACATGGCATTCCAACATATAAAAGTAATTTACCCAACGGCTCCTGCCAGGTACCATTTAATATATTGTAACTGTAGGATTAAGTTCCTCTGTTCCAGTGCTATAAAGTACAGTTCTGGATATTAGTACAAATTGTCTTAACAATTCTTTCTTCTTTCTCATGTATATGCTTTCTGACAAAACTGAAACGCAATCATGCATTGTTGTCCAGGAACTGTGATTTTAAGTGGTTAAGACTCTAAAGGATTCCCAGAAGTCACAGCCTCTATTTGAAATTTGGGTATTGTCCTCATAGTAGCTTTCCATTTACTTCATATAAGTAGAAGATGACCCTGCAATGTGTGTAGTAGTGGCATTAGAGAGTCATGGTCCAGATCACAATCTTACCTATAATAACTCCCACATATTAACTATTAAAATATTGTTTTGTATTTAATGCCAGGTTTCAGTACTGAAGGTGGTCAGTCTTTTTGGCAAGTAGGATGTCAAAGATCCTCAGCTCCTGGAGAAAGGACTGGGAATTCGAAAATGCACATAACTTCTTGTTTGAATCCTGGCCCAACTATTTCAAAGAGAATTGAGTTCAACATTTGCTGTGAGCTCAAGTCTTGTTATTAAATGACACTGTGTATTCAGTGGTAGATGGATATATAGATAAAATTTTTTTCCTGCAGGAATTTTAAAGTTTATGCGGTCAAACCTAGAGGGTAAAAGTTGGACATCTATCCCCATAGCTATCCAAAGGTAATATTAAATACGGAATATATAATTAATTACATATATTATGTATGTAACATATATTAGATATATAATACTAAATTTTAAAAGTGTTTAATTTTTCTTAATACAATTTTTTTAGGGTGTCTGTGGCTCTAAATTAGGAAAATGTTTCCTTGAAAGGTAATGGGGTTGAGTTTCTTTCTGAATTTGTGTATAAGTGTGGATGAATGCTGAATGGAAAAGGAAATTGTTACATAGGCTTTTGAGGTACAGAGGTTTCAAAGTCAGGAGAAGTTCTTGGAGGGTATAAACAAGTATAATAGCAGATTTTGTCTGGCACTCGCTATTACATGAAAAAAAACCCCTTTTCCTTGACCATGTATTTTTTATGGTCTACTTGGGCAGGAAAAGCAACTGAGAGATTGCAGTGAATGTACTCACTGCAGAGTACAGAACTCGTGTTACAGAAAAATCAAGCCCGTGAGTGGAAGCTTTTGAAGCACTGTGTTCTGGGTTAGCAGGGAGTGAATCCCATTTTCTGTAAATAATTTCAGCCTGATGACAGGCTGAAGTGATGCTAGAGTTATCAGTGGCACATCACACACACTGAGTGGCTCCACTGCTTCCCTCCGAGCACAGCAGCTATGGGGGAAATGCAGGAGGAGCTGCTCCTCTGGAAAATTTTTTTTTTCCCTTCTGCTATATGCAGCCAGAGCACCTCAGACCACATCTGGTGGGCCAGTGCTTGACTTTTCCGTCCCACTGCACTTCTGAGGTCCAGTCCTTTTCTTATTTATTCTGGTTTCTTTGGGTAACTACAGAGGTAAACGATGTATGAATGATTAACCAGCAACATCTCCTGACTCAAATGAAGGAATTTGTTTTTGTCTTATGACTTTGAATTTCAGTACTTTGCTAAACAGATGGGAAGATTCTGTTGTTATTAAAAAATGTGAATAAACAGTTTATTTCATTCTCTTCTTTTCTAAGTTGAGGTTATTCTTGTTCTTTTCTAGAGCAGGTAGCGTCATGCATGAGCTGATTAAGTGGCTTTTAGCAAAACAGAAAAGTTGTATATTCAAAGAATATAAAATACCCACACTGTTTGTCTTTAACTGGCAAGGCACTCTTGTGTATAGCCCTTTGTTGCTGATGAGCAGCCCTAGCTGACACAGTAAAATAAAACAGATGCTCCTAAAGCAGCTTGCCACTGTTTGCAGCAGGGCTGAAGTTTGTGATGATACATGTCATTGGTTGAAACCAAAATAACGAAACATTTACAGACCTATTTCATATTGTTTTGGTATTCAAGAACAAACCACATTATGCTTTTTTGAAACAGTTTTGTAAAAGTTGTCTTCCTTTCTTTCACAGAAAATAAAAGCAAGGCCTAGACCTTCCAAACTTGAATGGCTGACATTAAAGTAATTAAACCTGAGTACATATGTTGGTTTTATTTGTGTGTATATTTATATGCATATATATTTTGATAAGAATTCAAAATGTTTCTGGTAGCAGGGGTGGAATTCAGCATCCTTGTTAATGAGACCTATAGCTGGGTGGTTATGGACATACAGATCTGCTGAGAAGATTCTGAAACCAGGTTCTTTGCCCACCCAGAGGCTGAGGAATGTGCTGGCTGAAAGTCAGGCTGCTGAGAGAGAGCCTCCGTGGGTCTCTAACCTGCCACTGCACTGTCAGTGCAAAACTTGCCTGCAGGTTCTTGTGCTGATGATGAAATCAAAGAAAAGCTTGAAGCTTGGCAACACCCTCCTAGGATTGGCTGATGTGCTCTTCTGGCAAAATATTGTTAATGTGGATGTGCTTCGTACTCTGAGCTCCTGTCTTTTCCGGGATAACTACTTTGCACATGCACAGTGAATGTTCTCTGTCAAAGTAGCTATGCCAGTAAAAGCATGATGATATAACTGCAAAGCTGGGGGCTTTGGCAGGATAAACTGCAGGTCAGGAATACCTCTTCACATTTTTGATGGAAATTAATAGATCCATAGATATACATTCTTCACATCTGTTCCAACAGAGTTTTGTAAAGCAGTGGAATTCACATTTTTCAACGCAACATTGATTTTTTTTTTTTTTTTTTTGTGGAGGATGGATTTGGGTTATACTTATGTTTTGTTTAGATTTTATCCCAGGTGCTGAAACATGCATATTTTTCATTTGTACAGCATCAGAGGTTTAGACATGTTTTGATTCAAGAGTCAATGTATTTGAAAATTATTTTGAAAAACCAGTCCAGCATATAATCAGGAAGAATTCTGAAATATGTCCTTTGGCTTCACTAGCATTGATTTCGGCAAACAGTGAAGAAGATTATGGGTAAAAGCAATGGAATTTAACTGAACTAGATTTTATAAAACTATTTTTTACTCTTCTCTATAGGTATCTGTAAAAAGTCACACTTCTTTTTTTAAAAGAGATTTACTTTAATAATTGTTGTTTGATATTCAGGGTTTGTACAGAGAGCAATCACCTGATGCCCCCTGGACAGGCAGTGTTTACAGCATTTTGTCTCACTTATTCCCCATCACATTGAAAAGTGCAGTGAGTCTCATATTTGGTTGTTTCTTGAGCAAAAATAACAGAATGTGGATAGTGAAATTTACAGTTAAAAAAGAAAAACTTATAAAAATACTAAATAAATCACATATGGTAAAAAGCATGCTTAGATAAAAATGGAAAAAATATGTGGATTCCAAGACTTGATGTGATGTAGTGAGAGTACTGACACCTGAGTTTGGAATATGTTTGGAAATTAGGTGCATTTACCTGGGGTATGCAAATTTTGCTTTAAAAATTAAAAGTTTTACACATTGCTTGGAGGTTTGGGTTTGTTTTTTTTTTCTGTAATATACTGAGATACTTAAAAATTAGCAGAGAACTTGTTTTAACTGTGTCTATCTTTCTGTCAAGATTAGTGCTTCTACACATAGATTAAACTTGTTAAACACAACAGAATTCTATTTTCTCTCCATTGTAATGCTAATATATATCTTTAAAAAAAAAAACCCAAGCTCAAATTGGAGCCCTAGTAGCTGATGCAATCCCTAAAGCCACGTCTACACTAATAGTTTTAAAGGAAAGGGTTTCCTTTTTCCCTTTTTATTTGGGTCAGGATACCTACAACTTTAAATACTGTTTCAGCTGCTACAATTGTGACTTAAACATTAGGTTTCTATTGAGTTTCTAAATCAGAACTGAATACCACCCAATTGAAACTTTTTTTTTTTTTTAATAGAAAGTGATAGTTTAAATTGGCATTGCAGGAGCTAACGTGGTAAATCTAAAACCATTTAGGCTCTGCTTGTTTTAATACATATACCTTGCCTTCTATAGTTCCCTGAAAAAATCTAGGCCAAAGATTCTTTGCATTGTCTTGCATTCCATTCTGACAGTTCTTCTCTCTTGCAAGTCAGAAAATCAACTATAAACTATAATAACTACTTTGGCTATTTTATGGATCTTTTTGACATTCACCCAACAAACCTTTCTGTGGGATGTAAGTCTCTGTGCAGAACTTGTTCTCTGGGGTGCGAAGGCCCCAATGTATTCTAATTTTCATTATCCTTGTGTGGCTGGTAAGGACTAAAAGGCCCACTGCTCCATCTTTTCTCCTAAATTCACATCTTTGCTCAGCTCATGGGTGGAAATGAGCTTCATCTCACCATAGTCCCCATCTGGCTCTATCACAAAACCACCAGACAGTTTGGCACCACTCAGCTCCTCTGGCAGCCTCTGCCTGTGAGAGGCCTCGGATTGGAAAAGCAGCAGGGGTACTGCAGCTTGGACTTGAGATGGATTGGAGGGGAGTGTGCATAGTGCCTATCATACTGTTTTTGGCTCAAGCAAATGTTATTAATCCTTGACTTTTGTAAGCCCTAACCTCATTCATAAATTTAACACAAAGGAGTCTTTTTTAAAGGTGGGAGCTTGAGGGAGAAATGGGAAAGGTTTGGGTTGGTATCATGGGGTGGTTCTTTCATCTCCTTTAAGTAGAAATTTAACGTGTTCTGCATAATAATGCTTGAAGTATGCTTGGATAAGCTTTGTATTTTCCTTTTATTTCTGGTCTGGAATTAGGTGAGGAAAACTGCATATATCTAATGCTCACATCAGATGCTAAATAGCACATGAGATGCACTAAACACTTGTCAGAGATAACTGAAGTCATGCTTTGGAAAAACAAATTAGAACACGATAGAAGTAATCTTGGATTTGTAATCCCTTTTGCTGCATTGTGCTCTTAGGCATCCTTCATCTTGTTTTTATTCTCTCAACCCTTTTCCAGTACAGAAGAATTGGAGACAGT